CTTTCCATCTGAAATAGCGATCATTTCAAACTCACAAGGAACTAAAGGCAGGCTGAAGCGACTGTTCCGGAAGATCGCGGCCTGGGAACGTGCATGCCGACTGCCAAGCCTTGGCCTTTCCCGCAAGCAGAAGGCCTCCCAGGAAGGAAGAGAAAGTGGAGAGGAGAGGGGCCCACTCGTGGGGCGGGGACTACGGTGTCCACGCCACCCGTGCATTAACGCGCTTCAATTATGCACGAGCGCAGGCGATGCTGGCAGCAGACCCGGCCTCTTGGCTCTGGGTCCCCTCCCAGTCCCTCGACCCCCAGGCTCCGCAGTTCTGGACCCGTCCGGTGCCGAGGTCCACCGGCCCTCCGAGCGCGGGGCCTCTGCCGGCTGCTGGGTGGCTGATAGAAAGAAGCCTTCACGAGGCAACAACAGCGGATCGTGAGCGTTCCCGACTTCAAGCAGGATCTCGGAAGGGAAGGGCGTCTGGTTAACACAAGCCACGTTTCTGGAGAGACTCGGGGAGGCCCCGGGGCACCACCGCTCCGCCAGGCCTGAGCCAGGCTTTCCCAGGAAGGACATCCCACTCTGTACTCTGTGTTCTATATTTAATCAGCTCAATTAAGCGCTTTGCTGAGCTTCACAGTGCTCTAGGTAGTGTAGCAGGTTTACAAAATATTCATGAGTAGTGTATCTTTCTAAATTTTATTTATTTATTTGAGAGACAGAGAGCTCCCGTACCCTCACTCACCCCCTAAATGCCTGCCACGGCCAAGACCGAAGCTGGAGGCTTAGCGCCCACTCCTGGTCTCTCCCATGGGTGGCAGGAGCCCCCCTGCTGGCGCCGCCGCAGCTGCCTCCCAGGGTGTCTGAGCGGGCACGGGGCTTGGGCACCATAACCGCTACCGCAGTCCCAAGGCCAGGCGCATGGAGGAGGTCGGGTGGCTCAGGAAGGCAGGGAAGGGCACAGCCGAGCAGCTCGCGCCCCTGCTGGCCTTCCACGGAGACCCCGCCCCGGGAACGGACCAGCATCCCCGTGGACACGGGTCGGGCAGAGTGACTTGAGCTGTGCGGTGGAAAGTGCAGTGAGCATGAAGAGAAAAACGGAAGCATTGGGTGGTGTCCCCAGCAGAACAAAGCAGGGGCCTGGGTGTCCCTTCGGGGGTATTCGAGAATGGAGCTGCCTGGAGGTGGGCCGTCCCCTGTCCCTCCTGCTCCCTTTGTTGAAGCACCCGATGTCACTGTCTCCTGCAGGATCGTGGATTTCACACCAAAGGGTCCACAGAGGACGTGCAGGCCTGCTGAGCCTCGGGTGCTCCTGCCATCACCGGCCACACCCCGCCTGCTCCGTTTCCGAGGGAAAGGAAAGCCCTGTAGAGACGGGCACTGTCTTCCTGCCCCTTGAGTGGCAGCTGTGCTGGGGTGTCCCCACAGGTGGGAGATAGGGCTCCAGCCCTCCTGGCCGGGCCCCGCCTCTATGCAGAGGCGCACGGGGCTGGCTGCACGCTGGCTCGCAGAAGGGCCCTCTTCTAGCGTGCGTCCCCTACGCCTCTCCTCGCACCTCCCTTTGGGCTTCAGATGCCGAGCAGAGGAGTCTTGATCCTGCCGGGCCCTGACCTGTGAGGGGTCCCTGCTGCTCTGCAGGCAGCCTCCCTGCTGGTTACACGCAGGACCCCAGGGCCGCCCCGGGCAGCAGCCCCAGACACCCTGTCCACGCCCCGTGGTGGGAGCCACAGCCCTCTCATCTTGAGCTTGTGCGTTTGAAATGTGCCTGGAGTTTCACCGGCTTGCACCAGCGTGTCCGCGTCTGCACTTCTGCCGTGGCTCCCAGCCCTGACCCCAGCCGGCCACGACATGATTAGCTCATTGCTGAGGTCTTTCCTGACTGAGGCAAGAAGCCCCCACCCCCACCTTCACAGGCAGCCCGGTCAGCTCTCGCTCTCTTCTGTGTAGCTGGCCCCGTTGGCAGCTGTCGGCACAGCTGTGAGGACCGTTCCGCTCTTTGGAGGAAATCGGCTTCCATCCCCAGACTCGCTCGTCCTGGCCATCGCCCCCTCCACACACCCAACTCTTCAGAGGTCTTGGCCTTGGCCTTGGCCTCATCCTAGTGATCTGGGCCACAATCTGCCCCCTCTCTTCAGCCTCCTGGGCCGCCACAGCATCCTTGATCTCATTCTTGGAGCCTCAGCTCTTCGGTGCTGAGAACGCCCACTGCTGCTCTTACAGATCCGTGCAGCACCTCTTGTGTATAGGAGAGGTTTCCAGAAAGTTCGCGGAAGCTGCAGATCATGAAAAACGTCCTTGTCAATTTCCAGGTTTTTTTGGTAGCAACATAAACTTATCTTTGAATTCCATTTTCCATGAGCTTTTTGAAGCCATCTCTGTTTTTGACCCCATCCATCTTGTGTGACCCCATCCATCTCTCCCTAAAGCTGCGCTGGGATATCCACTTGGGTCTCGGGAGAAGATGTGCTGTGTGTCCCTGGTGCCCCTCCCTCGGCGACGCCTGCCAGGGCACGCGCCACATTGCCGCACAAGCGCCTGTTGTGGTTAACAGTGCTGGAGCACGGTCAACGTCCAGGAGGTGCTCCTGGGGATTGGTGGAGTAAGTTCTAGCTCGGTGTCTGAGTTGATGAAACCGAGGCTTTTGGGAAGCAGCTGAGGGACCGTCCCAATGCCTGGTCTTCCGTGAGATGCCTTTCCCCAGCCCCAGGACCCTCGCTCGTGCCATCTCCCACCGGCCTCTGTGTTCGCTCCTTGGCTGGAGGGCTCACCACCCCAGAAACAAGCCCAGGTGAAGGGGTGCACAGGGCTGTGCCTCGTTCCCTTGTTCTGGGGCAGGCTTGTCTTGGTCTGTGTCCTGTTGTGGTGCCGTCATGAGCACAGACAGCCTGGAAGCAACAGAGGTTCATTTCACTCGGCGCTGGGACGTCCGGCAGCACAGGGCCGGCACCAGGGAGGGCTTCGTGCTGCACCGGGGCGTGGCGAGGGTGCCGGCTCAGGGCTCTCTTCTTAGAAAGCCCCAGGGGCCATCGTGGGACCCCAGCCTCGTGACCTCATCTATGCTAATTACTGCCCAGAGACCTCCCTCCAGATGCCGGGCATCCATCCATCTGGGGCTGGGGTCTCCAACACGGGAGCCTGGGCGCCGTCACGCGGCAGTAAGGCTTGTGCACACACCTGCAAGCATGAACCCGGGCCGGATTCCCGAGAGCTCACCACCAGTGCTCCCTGCTGACCACGCCAGCCAGATCCGGGCAGCCGGGAGAGGAGACAGGAGGCTAAGACGCAGGGCGCCCCGAGTCTCTGTCATTACAGCCCTGGGGGGGAAGGGCACAGGCACAGCCCCCGGGCCTCTCAAGGCAGTGCCTGATGTGGAGCCCTGGGAAGGGACAGCCTCCAGGCCGAGGCCACCGTGCAGGCCGGGACACTGCTCCTGGGGACTGCCTTCCATTCCCCTCGTGGTCGCTGGGTTCTTACTGAAGGGCTCCCGGGACCACGTGGACAGTCTTCCGATGGGCACTGTGGACGTGTGGCTGCTGCAACCAGGCAGCCAGCGGCCTCCTCCCAAGCTGCCACTCCCTGAGCAGCTTGCCCAGGCTCTGTGTGCCTCAGCTTCCTCACCTGCAAAACGGGGTGATGAAGGGCCTCCCTCGGGGTGCTGTGAGGGCTCCACGGTGTGCGGTCAGAGGCTGGTGCCTGCATGAGGTCAGTGCAGTGAGCCTGGGGGCTGTGGGGGTGGGCGCCCTGGAGCGGCCACTTGCCAGCCGCAGTGCCGTCTGAGCCGGCTGCCACCTGCCTGCTGACCCACTGTGTGCTCGCAGCTCTTCAGGGTCAGAGTACCTGTGCTGCCGAAGAGAGGTCACCCGACTTAGCTCTCAGGGCTCCTAAAGGGGGGAGCTGAGCGTCCAGGTTTCGGTGTCTGGACCGCAGGTCTCCAAATCAAGAGAGAGTCAGTGGATTGTACAAAGCCAGAGGGCTGTGACCATGAATGAGTGGTCGAGAGCACCCCAAAATCTCCCCCACGGCCTTGTGAAACCCGGCCTGCGGCCCCAGAAGCTCTGGTGGGACCCAAGAATCTGCATTCGTGACATGGCCGTGCCGATGTTCTGACCGCTTCCCAGGAACCTGGCTCTGAGGAAGGCAGCGTAGTCTCCACGGTGCCCCTTCTCGCTCACTCACTCTGCCTGGGCCAGAGCCGCTTGCTGCTGCCGCTGGTCTGTAAACCCTGGGGGCGCAGTTCTCCCTGCTTCACGGTGGAGGGCCAGGCAGCACTCCCTGCTCAGTGAGTCAGTGAAGCCCAGGAGTGCCTCCTACCTTCCTGGGGAGGAAAGCCATGCAAATGGCAGCTTTGCCAGCCAGGCAGCGGGCAGCCGCCCTGAGCAGGCAGGTGCGTGCCCCTTCCCCGGCGGCCCCCGCCCACGGCTCGCTCTGCAGACCCTCCCGGGCCTCACGCACACCTCAGTGTCCCACCTGGCACCTCAGCACGCTGGGGAAACCGAGAAACGGCACCCAGGGCTCACCCACGGAACTGTCCCTGAGAAACAAGGGGTTCAGGAGTCGGGAAGGAAGCCACAGACAGAGCGCTGCGCATGTTTGCAGAGTTCCACCAGGGTTTAGCGAGAGTTAGGTGAACCCAGAGAGGTGGGTGCCGGCAGAGCGGAAGCTGCAGGCCAGATAAGCATTTTTAGGGGTTTTCCCGGGGAGTGGACCGTGTGCCCAGCACTCCCTTCCTGCAGCAGAGAGGGTGCGGGATTCAGCCCTGGGCTCCTGAGAGGACCCCACCAGGCTGGGGATCCAGTGGCCTCCGCGGCCTAGAGTGAGAGCCCAGCAATAGCTTCTTGTGCCCTCCCTGGGAGCGCTCCAGAGCCTGCCCCCGACCCCCGCTCCGGGCCGCCCTCCCCACTTCGATTGGTCGCTGTCATGTCGATTCGATTGTCCTTTTGCTGCTGTGCTGTTTTGTGCTTTTGTTTCCTGCAGTGACACTGAGCGGCCTCCTGTGTTGTGTCTTTCAGCCAGTAATGTTAAAGTAGAGACTCAGAGTGATGAAGAGAATGGGCGTGGCTGTGAAATGAATGGGGAAGAATGTGCGGAGGATTTACGAATGCTTGATGCGGCGGGAGAGAAAATGAATGGCTCCCACAGGGACCAAGGCGGCTCGGCTCTGTCGGGAGCTGGCGGCATCCGACTTCCGAACGGAAAACTAAAGTGTGATGTCTGTGGGATCATTTGCATCGGGCCCAATGTGCTCATGGTCCACAAGAGAAGCCACACGGGTAAGGCCTGGCGCCGCGTCCGCCGCCGCGTCCTCCGGGGCCTGGGAGAGCGCCCTGTGCTCCTGCAGCCTCGTCCTTAGCACCTTTCCCACTCCCTGGCAGCCTGGGTGCTGCCCGCACTTGGCTGCAGCTGCACATAGGCGTGGCCGCCTCCATTCTGGAACGTGGGAAGGGCTTGGCGTGTACCAGCCGACTCTCTCCAGAAAGCTGGGGTGGGGGTGGGGGGTGTTGACAGCCTCCTGGCAGAGGCCTGATGTTGCACACGCTAAACAGTCTTCAGCCACGCCACCCATTTGGTCACGCCACATGGCCGTGGCCCACCCTAAGCAAAACAAGACCAAACCAGACCTAGAGAGGCAGGTGCAGCTAAAGGGAGTCGCAGAAACCGGGGGTCAGGTGTGGACTTTAGGCGGACTCGGGCTCACGGGGCTCGGTGTGCAGGAATGGCAGCGCCCGGCGGGACAGCAGCAGAGCCTGGCTTTCAGGAAGGGCCAGACCCCATCTGCGAAGGCTCGCCTCTGACCAGTGAGGCTTCGGACGGGCTGTTTGGTTGCTGCTACAGTCCCTCACACATCGGCAAAGAATTTCATGCCGAACCCCTGTCTTGAAAAGTTCACTGCAGTCAGGGGAGGAGTAGGAGAGTGGGATGCTGGGTGGCCTGGAGGAGGCGTGCCCGCGCCGTGGTGTTGGACGACCCGCCCCAGCTCGTCAGCACAGGAGCTGAGCCCGTGGCAGCCGGCAGGCTCTGCTCCTCCATGTGTCTCTTGTGGATGGAGTACCACGTGTGTCATGTCACCACTGCTGGTGGGACTCGTGTGTCTGAACAGTGTCCACACACACAGCTGACCTTGACCGCGGGCAGGAGGCCCCTGCACTCTTCTCTGACCATGTGGCTGCGTGGGGAACAGGCACCCTGAGCTGTTGCTGCTGTGGCCGTAAGACCAGCGTCTGCCTCTGCAGCACCCGGGGTGAACACAGACATGCTTTGGAGGCAGAGCAGAGTGTCTACTCGGAAACAGGACGCGGATGGCTTGAAAGCCATAGCCTTGCCTGCTTCTTAGGCGGGGCCAGACTTAGATCTATCAAGAATTGAGCGGGATTCAGGAAATTTGTTAAGCAAAAAGCTGAGTTATCAGGAAATGCAAATATTTAGAAGAGTTACAGAGAGAGGGGGAGAGAGAGACAGAGAGACAGAGATCTTCCATCAGCTGGTTCACTCCTCAAGTGGCCACATTGGCCAGGGCTGGGCCAGGCCAAAGCCAGGAGCCATGAACTTTAGCTGGGTCTCCCACCTGGGAGACAGGGGCCCAAGCCTCAGGCCATCACCCACTGCTTCTCCTCGGGTGCACTAGCAGGGAGCTGGGTGGGAAGTAGAGCGGCCAGGACTTGAACCCCAGTGCTCATGTGGGAAGCCAGCATTTCAGGCAGCGAGCAGCTTTACCCACTATGCCACAGCACCAGCCCCCCAAGGGGTTGTAATTTGTATATTTGAGTCAGGGTAGTTTCAAAATGGTACGTTCCATTTGTAATGTATCAGGGAGCCATAAATAAATCAATTTCCCATGGGCACTCCTCTTCAGTAAAAATCTACCTACTGAAATTAAGCAAACTCTGCTTCTCCTAATGGGCCCCTTAATCCTCAAATTACTCAGTGCGACAGCCCTGTCACTTCCAGCTCTAAGCAAAGCCGCCGTGCTCGTAATCCCAACTGCTCTGTCATGAGCTGGAAATTAACTCGAAGGCTGGGCCACCAAGACGGCCCTGCGGCTGCTGGGGGTCTGCAGATAATTCCTGATGAGGCGCTGCCTCACAAGTGAGTCACTTTCCTGCTAATTCATGTAAAGCCCGACTGTTCAGCGGAAATTCTCTTAAATAAATTTTTGATAAGTGAATCAAATTCCAGCATATTAAATTGCCAAAATACAATGACTGCTCACCTTGACAAAAGGAATAATTACCTTTAATGAATAACCCTGCCACGTGCAGATGTGCGGAGCGGCACCTGCTGGTTGCCAGTCCCCTCTCCCGCCATGCACGGCTGTGTGCCAGGTCCTCCCTGAGAGAAGAGGTAGCTCCCGAGTTAGGTGCACCCTCAGTTGTCTCGTGCCTGCCTTGCCCTTTATTTGAGCAAGAAATCCCACGGGCTGTCTTCACAGCACATTTGTCCCTGTGCATGCAAAGGTGACCTGGTCTGGCAGAGGAGGCTTGAACAGCCAGGTGCCATCGTGCTGGGCCCAGAGCCCAGGTAGAATGTGTTTGCAAAGGAGGCCTTGTGGGTTCTCTTTGCCACAGCCTCTAGAGCACAGCTTTGCCACCTTGAAAGGGCACCTGCGAGCCGTGGACAGCAGAGAGGGCCGTGTGGGACGGCCTTGAGGGCCATGGAACTCCCTGCTGGGCAGGCTGCCCGTGATGGGGTCAGCCTAGAGCGTCAGGGCTGCTGGCCTCTTCCTCAATGAGCACGGAGGTTCCCAGGGCCGAGTCGCAGGCAGTGACCCCCGCACTGCCTGCCCCAGGCTTTGCTGCTCAGCCAGGTGTGACAGCAGCGCCTTCCAGCCAGCATTCCAGGGTGGGCGGGGGGATCAGGCAGGAGCCTGGTGGGCAAGAGGCGAGAGAAGGAAAACTAGCCGTGCAAGTATGCGTAGCCTGCAGGAAGTCCACAGAGCACGCATGTTAGGCGGAAAGTCCAGGGATCACTTGCTACAAGTCCCGTGCGTGCTTCTCGGTGTTTTTCTTGCACTAGAATGAACTTCTCTTTTAATGCCATTTTCCATGAAGTTCGTACAACCCAGGAGAGCGGCTACATGTGGGCCCCCGCCCCCAGATGTAGCCCCCTCACCACAGCCCATGTGGAGAGCCACAGGGCAGGTTTTGCAGTCCAGACAAGTCATCTGCTCTGCTGGAACCCCCAAGGTGTGGAGTCCATGAAGACGCTCTTAACCGGTTACTGCTCTTTCTCTGGTCAGCCAAACCCCATCCAAAGAAGGTTTTGGGGAGGTACCGGCTGCTCCCTGGTGAGCCTCAGGACCCCTGCAGTGGCCTGCGGCTGTCACCGTGGTGCATTGCCCTGCCCACTGCAAAGCGGAGGCCGGAGTCCAAGGCGCCAGGACTGACACAGACGTCCTGCAATCTGGCCAGACTTGCTTGTCTGTAACCGGTTTTGATAAATTCTGTCTTCATGCTCGATTAGTCACTTGGGAACGTGGTTAGAGACCCTGGTCCCTAGGCCGTGCCTGTTCACGGCACCTCAGCACTGTGGTCACCTCGTGCTCTCCCCCAAGGAAAGCTGTGTTCTCCTGAAGAGGGGACGCATTTGCCAAACCGCAGCCAGGCGTCATCTGTGCACTGGGACTAAGGGAAGTGCTGACCGGCAGGGCCGGCGGGCCCAGTGACTCCCCAGCACGGACAGGGGCCTGCTCTCCGATGCCCCCGTATCCCTCGGCCAGGCCCAGACCAGGCGCACACACCACGTCATGGGGTGCAGGTCCCAGGGCTTTCTTCATCTCAGACTCGGAAACCCCAAGTTCCTTCCTAACGGTCCCGTGGAAGCCCCAGCTCCTCTGCCGTGGGTGGGAACACACTGGCCTAAAGGGCTTAGAATTTGAGAAAGCCACGTGCAGGGGCGTGCTCCCCACCCTGCGCCGGCCAGGGCAGGGCTTCCCTCCGGGAGCCGGGCGCTCGCTCCCTTCAGGTTCTCAACTTCTCCTTCCGGGCGGTCGTTCCATCTCTCCCTCCCTGCCTCACCCTCACCCTCTCTCTGTCTGTCTCTCTCCTGATTTGCCTGCTTAGGGACAGACAGGTAATGGAGAAGAAATTGAAAGGGAAAATGTAAATGAAAAGAAGTTATTATAACTGTTATAATGAAGTGCCTTTCATTTAAATATAAGAATGTAACGCTGAAATGAACTTGTGATCCTGAAATGCATTTTTAATGAGTTTCCTTTTTATTTTGCTGCTTCAGTGGCATATTTTAAAGACCCTTTGAAAAAAGCCACATTAAAAACCCCACCAAATGCCACAACACGCAAAATTGGATATTGGTTTATTCCAAAACTGCTGATCAGGAAGACTGGCTCTTCATCACAAAATGTTGCAGTCACTTTATTTAAATGAGTTTGAATTTGCATTGTGATGTGCCATTCTGATTTAGGGGAAAAAAATTAGATTTTCAGATCAAATTGACCCAGCCAGTGAAGCGTTAAGTTGCTGGCAGGTTCAGTGTGAAGCCTCGTGTTCTATCAAACCTGCAGCCGGTGGAAGTCACCGGCCCCGTGGGAAACGACTTCCTCGCCGCGGCGCGCGGCGCTCTCGCCTGTTCTCACACTGTCTTCCCCTCGTCCAGGCGAGCGGCCCTTCCAGTGCAACCAGTGTGGGGCCTCCTTCACCCAGAAGGGCAACCTGCTGCGCCACATCAAGCTGCACTCCGGGGAGAAGCCCTTCAAGTGCCACCTGTGCAACTACGCCTGCCGCCGCAGGGACGCGCTCACCGGCCACTTGCGCACGCACTCCGGTAGGTGCCCCGGGGCCCTGGGCGCGGTCGCTCTCCCTGCCGGCTGGCCTCCACCCAGTGCCATGGCGGCCACCACCCCATGTTCTACTTTCCCCACGGAGCCAGAGCCAGAGAAAAGAGGTGGGGAAATGTGCACCTGCACATGCACACAAATGCACTCATGTGTGCAGGCACCTGTGTGCACACAAGCACACACACACACAGGTATGTACACAAACACAGACAGGCACATACATACAGGTACATACACAAACACATAGACATGCACATGTGCAGGCACACACGTGCACACACATACAGGTACATGCATACAGGCACACACATACAGGTACATACACAAACACATAGACATGCACATGTACAGGCACACACGTGCACACACATACAGGTACATACATGCAGGCACACGCATACACATATGCAGGTACATACACAAGCAGACGTGCACACACACAGGCACACATGCACACATAGGCACACATGTATACATACAGGCATGCACACACATACAGATACATACACAAACACATAGACATGCACTTGTACAGGCACACACGTGCACACACATACAGGCACACACATACAGGTACATACACAAGCACATAGACGTGCACACATAGGCACACACATGCACACATATATAGGCACACACGTATACATACAGGCACACACAGGCATGCACGCACATACAGATACATACACAAGCACATAGGCGTGCACACACAGATGCACACATATACAGGCACATGCATACATATTCAGGCACACACATACAGGCACACACAGGCATGCACACACATACAGGTATGTACACAAACACAAGCACACAGAGATGCACACACATGCAGGCACACACATGCGGGCACACGTGGGCACACACACAGGCTAAGAAGCCTCGTCTTAGGGCACACGTCTCAGAGGAGGCCTCTGTCCCTTGCATCAGGTAAGTGGGGTTTCAGTGGAGCTTTTCGCTGGCTGCACACTCGCCACTGCACCACCACTGCCAGTGGGGTCTCTGGCCCGTGGCACTGAGGGGGTTGTCCGGCCTTAACCGATCACACCAGTGACGGCCCCTGGAGGTGTCCTTGCAGAGGTGACACAAAGGTGATGGAGCCATCACCCAGCCTCGGGGGAGGAACCAGGCAGCAGCTGCCCATGGAGGCAGCACCCCCTTGGTGTGAGCAGAGGAGAGTGCACATGGATATCACGGTTTCGGTCCTGCAGCCATGGGCAGGCCCCCACCCCATTATGGTCAAGGCTACCACCAGTCACATGATGCCATCTCCCAGGGCGCCTGCTCACCCCAAGCAATCACATAGATTGACACCCTGGCATTGCCCATCATTGGGGATGCCGACAGCAGGACACTTTGCAAGGCCTTGGGGGCTTCCTGTCATGGCCAGTCTGGGATCCGAGGCCCCTCCGAGCAGTGGCCCCTCTGCCCCAAGTTGCAAGGGACAGGTGTTCTCTGGGAAGGGCTACCAGGGCTCAGGCCACCCTTGCCGATGGTGAGGAATGTCTGTCATGGCCGGGCTTCAGAGACCTTGCGTGTGCCCATCTCCCGGTGCCACATTAGCTGAGGGCATTGAGATGTGCGTTCTCCATGGGGGACAGGTGTGCAAAGCACCTCGTGTTCACAGGTGCGGCCAGCGCAGGGCACCTGCAGCAGTCAGCCTGGGGGGGGGAAGGGGGCGTGGTCAGGAGGAGGGGCTCTGGGACGTGAGGAGGCGCGGCCCTGGCGCTGGCTTCGGAGGCACTCAGAAGGACCATGTGGTTCCACAGAGACCTGGACAGGGTGGCCGCACGTCTCGGCAGCTGTGCCCAGGAGCATGGTGCTCCCTCCTGGCCAGGCCCCTCAGGAAGATCACCCAGATGGCAGGGAGGGGAGGAGAGGAGCCTCAGGGCTGCGAGCCACCTGCCTCCTGCTGGGACACGTGGACACGTGGACACGTGGAGCAGACGTCCAGGTGCTTCTCAGGACGTTAACGTGATTGGGGTGAGATTCCTAAAGTCTCCCCAGGAAGGGGCTGTACCCGGCCCAGGTAGTGCCGTGCAGACGGGGCAGGCTGTGCGCCACGCAGGCACTGGCACAGCGGACGGCGGAGCGGCACTGTGTCCGTGGGGAACACACAGGCGTTCTGAGGCTGATGCTGACCCCAGCATCCCCAGTTACTCTGATTTGCAGTAGAAATCGCTTCCCATCTAAGTCCTTAGAATTCGCAGCAGGGCCACCCTCTCCTGCCTCCTGGGAAGCGAGGAGCACGGGGCGCAGCACCTTTGTTCTGCTGCACCCGGGATTGCACTGTGCTCCGAGCAGGGTAATCCTGGAGTAGTCGGCCATGACAGGTGCAAAGGGGGCAGGGAGCCCCTGCGGGCCAGTGGGGGCTCCTGCTGTGACAGTGCCACTCGGGGGAACAGGGACGTGGTTTCCTGCAAGTGACTTCACTAGGGTGAGCTGACGACTTGCGCCTTTCTCGGGCAAACTCAGATGTGGCTACGCTCTGTTCCCTTGAGGAATGAGCACCCCTGACTCCTTTAACGGCCAGGGTCAGCTCAACCACAGAGCTCTCCCTGAGGCCCCAGACACAGGCACCTTCGTGGGGAGAGAGCTGGAGAAGCTGTGCCCCGCTGATAAGAGAGGGGCCGGGATCCCTTCCTTCCTGTGTCTCTGGGAGCCGCCGCTGCTTCCCCGCGTGTGGGGCCGAGCGTCGCACCTGCTTTAGGGCAGCTCTGAGCTCGGTGGTGTGCACACGGCTGGGGGCCGCTCTGACCATGGCCTTCGCTAACCTCAGCTCCTCCAGGAAAGGGCGGTACTCCAGGCATGGGAAATTTTAGGCAACGTTGCTGTTTCAACATTAGTTCCTGGGGTTGGGGTTCATCAGCTGCTACAGACAGAGAGAGGCCCCTCTCTTCCTGTTAAAGATGCAGAAGTCAGATTGTAGTGTTCTTGTCAGTCTTCTGAGACCGTACCTTCCGTTCACCCGAGGAGGAGCCTAACCATGGCAAACTTTGGTTAACTGGTTACCGGACATCCACGTGAATGGTTTTGACCTTTGTACAGTGCTTCGAAATATGTTAAATCAAGCAACATGCAGAGTAGCCGAAGGTTCTTGTCTCTGGGTGGGCATCTTGTTCTTCACGTAAAAGACTGAAGGTCCTCCCTCCATTTCCTCTCTTCTGGGGGAGTACATTGGCATCGTTAGACGGACACCTGCTGTGGATTCCTCACTAGTCTTTTTCTGAAATACCACTCAGTGAAATCCAGGAAGAACTGAACTTGTCCTATAGAAGTGCATGACCCGGTAGAGTGGCCATCAGCCCTGTGTGGCATGTAAATTTTGATTTTTACAGTTAAAATTAAGCAAGTTGAGTCTCAGCCCTCAGTGGCACCGGCCGTTCTCTGAGTGCTCGGCCGCCACGTGTGGTTGGTGGCTGCCACGCTGAACAGCACGGGTGCAGAAAATCATCGCGGCTGGATGTTCTCGTGGACAGGGCCGGTCTCGAAGCTGCTCCGTGCCCAGGTTCTCCGGGGGAGGAAACGGGGCTGTGCCGTAGGAAATGCACCGTGTATTTGTGTCTCATCTCGTGCATCCTTTCACGAAGCATCCGCACGTTACACATCTTGAGAGTCAGGTGTACCCACACTTTCCTAGGGCCTCCATCATCCGCGAGCACCCTGGAGGGGAGCTCACTCTGGTTACAGCCGACCTGGTGCCAGTGTCGCGCCAGACCCGGCCCAGCCTGCCCTGGAGGTGAGCCCCCGGGCTGCCCAGCGGCACAGGGCCCTTCACGTCCCTGTCCAGCCTGCGACACTGCAATGCCTCACCCCCTCCAGGAGCTTAAGGAGGAGAGAATCCAGCCGTCCCACAGTAGGCAAACCCAAGCGAGACAAGAGTCGCTGAGTTTTTGGTACAATCGGGGTCTCCTGGGCACTGAGATTTTTCAATGCGGTGATTTTGACTGGCACCATAATGCTTTTGGTTCTCAAGAATGATTTTTTTTTTACTTTTTTGGTAAAAACTGTATTGCATGCATTCCCGTCAGACACCGGCCGACATGTACTCAATTGTGTTTTCTGCAGTTGGTAAACCTCACAAATGTGGATATTGTGGCCGAAGCTATAAGCAGCGAAGCTCTTTAGAGGAACATAAAGAGCGTTGCCACAACTACTTGGAAAGCATGGGCCTTCCAGGCACGCTGTACCCAGGTAAGAGCGAAGCAGGGAGGCGGGCCTGGAGGACCCCATGCCCGCGGGGCACGGGGCGGCCGGCAGGCAGCGGCAGGGGCAGCGCCTCGGGCTGCGCCCGCCAGCCTGGCCAGCGAGGGACCGTGGCACACTGTGCCCCTGCTTTCCGAGTCCCTGTCCGACCAGGGAGCTGGACTTCAGAACCCTCTTCAACCCCAGAGAAACCGCTGGACGGCAGGGACGTCCACAGTTTTTGGTTTGTTTTTCTGGGTGTTGGTGGTGCTTTTTAGCCCCAGCCCTAGGGTAGTGATTGCTTGTGCTCAGTTAGCAAAATAAGAGGTGAAATCTGGTTCAAAAACCATTTTTTTTTTTCATGAGGCTGATTAAATAAGAACTTCCACGCTGTGCTTGGGATCCTGGGTTCAGGCCTAGGACAGAGTATCTTCCCGGGGCATGAGGAGGAAGGGGCTAGGAAGACCCCTCGGTCCCAGCATGGAGGCCATCAGAGGACAGAAGTGCAGGTGGCCACACTCCATTGCACATTGCATAAGAGCTCGTGCTGGACAGAGCGAGGTGCTGGACAGACGAGTCCTGGAGCAGGGGTGACGGCAGGAGGCCGTGCCATCAGAGGCACCTCCCTAGCCTCCAGCGACAGAGGCATTGCCGTGTGCAGCAGCTGAGGCTACTCCTGCCGCTGCCGCCCCAGCGCGCTCTTCCCTGGGCTCTGGGCTAGGAACCAAGCTAATGCTGAGCCTCACTCGACATCCTGGCTTGGAGCACTGGGTCCTAAAGGAGACGCCACTGGACATTGACGGCAGGCGACAGCAGAGACAGGAACGGTCAGCATGAAGTCCTGATGCAGACTTGGACTAGTCTTGGCTCAGGGAGGCAGCACACAGCATGGCATGGCGAGAGCTCCGCCTTCTTGGCCTGGCCCCCGCCCCGGCCCATCGGCTGCGGAGCTGGAGCTGATCAGTCAGCTGGCGAGGCCTGACTCTGCTCGCCTGTGTATCGGGGAGGTTCTGAAAGCGATCGCTTAGCTGCCTTCACCACCTGGGTCAGGGATGGAAAGGTGTCCGGGTGAGAGACGCAGAGGAACTGCAGGTTACAGCCAGAGCGGAGCTGAGTTCACAGCGGGCAGTTTGCAGCCAGGCTCAGGTAGGAGAGGAAGGCATGGGGGGATGCTTTTGTTCCTTTAAAAAAAGTCAATATGCAGATATTGTGTTTTCCTGTAAAAAATAAACTAATAAGGCTCCTGATGATGTAATTTACATATTAATGATTAATAAGCATTTGAATTTTTCAACATTCATCCAAGACATGTTGTCTATAGTGCTAAGCCCCAGGAATACCCTCAGCTGGTTTGCCATGGGGTTGAGAAGCTGGAGTGAGTAGGAGGAGGAGGACACACAGGGATTCTCTGCCCTTGCACAGTGTTTGGGAAACGCGCATCTGTGCTGAAGATGTAGGCTTCCTTTGTCCCTTGCCGCCACCCCCTCGCCAGCACAAAGAGCAACAGGTCCCACAGGGTTTGTGTCGTGTCAGGAAGCAGCAGGCGTCCAGAGACGCGGTGGCGATGCGGGAGGCAGTGCAAACAGTACAGCCTCTCACGCCAGGGACTCGGGCGTGCACGGCTGCGGGTCCCCGCGGGCGTCTGGAGCCAGACCCTTGCAGATACCCAGGACACGCCCACAGACGCTCAGTCCATCGACAGAGGCTGTGAGAACATGGGCACTATGGGTGCAAATAAAATTTGAAATCCGTGCATAGATTTTTTTTTGAAGTACACATTTTCCACAAACTTACTGGAGAAATGTTTGTGTGCGTGCATGGCCTTCAAAGTTCTTGTGTCAAAACAGGCATCTCCTAATCCCATTTTCATGAACTGCCTGAGGTCCAACCACACTGATGGGTTGCCTCATTCCACAAACAGCTGTGGGGGTCCCAGCAGGCCGAGGCCCCCTCAGCTCTGCTTCCGATTTCCCGTGTGACCCAGGGAACACCTCCTCAGGGTGGGTGGTGATTCCCAGCCAGGCGGGGCTCTGAGGGAAGCATCCTGAGCAAGCCGGTGAGAGGCCACGGAAGTGCAGGACCCTGAGCGCTGGACCCGTCCTCTCAGTTCCCCTCTCCAGGGTCTGCATCAGTGAACTTGCCTGCCAGGGACACGTGGCAGGCAGTGCCCGCAGCCTGCAGCCGTCTCCCCCGGTGGCTGAGTGATGGGTGTACCGTAGTGCCGTCACCATGACAACAGAGCTGGCCAGGCTGGCGTTTAGTGAGGTTGAATCCTTCCCACCTGGGTGGTCGGAACCAACCCATAGACTGGGCTGCACCCTTGCAGCTGTGCGGTAGCGCTGGGGGTCCCTGGAAGGGCTTACGTGAATGCCCCCCTGGACTTGGCATGAGGGGATCTGGGGGCAGGCAGGGCCAGGGCTGGTGGGACCTGCACTTGCCCTGTGCACCCTGCTCCTCTCCCTCCCAGGACCCCGGGATGAGCCCTCGTCAGACCCCGGGGTGAGCCCTCGTCAGTGCTCAGATGGACCGGCTGGAGCAGAGCCCCTGCCCTCCCCAGTGCCCCTGCCCAAGGCTGGGCCCGGGAGGTAAAACCAAAGCCTCACCCGAAGGATGCTGAGAAAGATGACATTTACCATGAGGTTTTCCCTCGTAAAGGCTTTGGCGCCCTGTTTCTCCTCACGTCTTCACGTTTAAAAACTCGGGCCTGCAGAGTGCCACAGACCTTGGTGTGCAGGACAGCAGGTGGGCACTTGGGGGCTGTGAGCTCATCGGTCCCTTACTGTGGTCAGTGGGCAAGTCGGGGGAGGCCCCGGAGGCTGTGGGGCATGAATGGAGCAAACCTGGCCGAGACGCTGGGTGCCCTGGGCAGAGGCACACAGGGAGCCTGTGGCAGGACGGGCCAGGGTTCCAGCCACTGCTGGTTTGGGGTCTGTGGATTCCCAATCTGCTTCATGTCAGTCCGAGTGTGGCTGTGGCGTTTTGCCCATTTACTAACACACGTTTCCAACGTTGGACAAGTTACATACCTCAGCAGTAACAGCCAGTGTGAAACCTGCTCTCAAAGCGACCCTGGTGATTGCTCTGAACACAGGAGGTGCTCGGCAGTAAATGTGTGGTGTGTGGTGACGCAGGCTCCAGGCCACACCGCGGCCCACAAGGACGCTTGGGAGGCAGGGCGGGGGGCGAGGCGTGGACGTTGTCCCCTGCACCCTGCCAGGTCAAGGCTCGGTTTTACCCTAAAGCTGTCATATGATCTTATGGGAATGTGGTAACCACAGATCACACAGTGTCTGCGGAAAAATAAATGAGAGAATTGGTGACTTTTTTATTTTTAATTTTTAAAGACTTAATTTTATTTATTTGAAAGGCAAAATGACAGGAAAAGACAGAAAGATCTGTCCACTAGTTCACTCCCCAAATGGCCACAATAGCCAGGGCTTGGCCAGGCCAGTGCCAGGTGCCTAGAACTCCATTCTGGTTGTAGGGCCCCCAAACCATTGGGCCATCCTCTGCAGCTTTCCCAGGCACATCATCAGGGAACTGGATTGGAAGTGGAGCAGCCGGGACTTGAACCAGCACTCCGATATGGGATGCCAGCGTCCCAGGCAGTGACTTGCCCATTGTGCCACAGCACTGGCCCCTGGCAACTTTTAAAAAAAAATTATTTGTTTACTTGAAGGTCAGAGATACACAGAGAGAGAAGGAAAGGCAGAGACAGAGAGAGAGGTCTTCCACCCACTGGTTCACTCCCCAGATGGCCTCAACGGCCAGAGCTGCACCGATCCAAAGCCAGGAGCCAGGAGCTTCCTCCGGGTCTCCCATGTGGGTGCAGGGGCTCAAGGACTTGGGCCATCTTCCACTGCTTTCCCAGGCCATAGCAGAGAGCTGGATTGGATGTGGAGCAGCCGGGACTCAAACCGGCGCCCATATTGGGTGCCTGCACTGCAGGCCAGCGGCTTTACCTGCTATGCCACAGCACCAGCCCCACTGGCAACTGTTTTCAAAAGAAGAATAGCATCTGGTACTCCGTGAGAACGCAGCTGGTGGGTGGGACTCTGAAGAGCAGATAGGTCCATCAGGAAGGGAAGTGAGTGTGGCAGAGACCTGTGTGAGGACAGACGCGCAGGCAGAGGGGTGTTGGAAGAGCTGATGGGATACGTGGACAGTCAGTTCCCACCATCGGCTCCTCCTCCATCCGGATAAATGGCAGGGAAATAAAAGAGTGGTGTTTCCAAAACTCCAACCATCAATTCTAGAAGCAAATGTCAGTGAGGCTGTGAGGACACAGCACCCCCTGGAATCATGGGAGGAAGGGGTCAACAGAGGAAGCTAGGGGTCCCCCTGGAGACAGCCCACGCCCGCGTGCCTCCCTACTTCTGAAGTCTCCGCTTGCGTGTGTCCTTGAGTCTCAGGAGAGGCCCCCGATCCTTTCCCAGGAGCCAAGGTTCGCTGAGGATCTTGGACAGCGGCTTTCCTGCTGCCCGGTGCCCTGGGCCAGTGGGTGGAGGCGGATCCTTTGATTGACAGTCCTTGGGTTCCCGCAGGACTCCTATGGTGGTGGCAGGCTGGGGTTGTACATTCAGGAGTATCTTGAAAAAATCCTAGGACCCTCCAAAGGGACATGGGGGGCTCAGGCCCTGGGCAGCCTGCGGTGACAGCAGTGGCCTCGGGGGCGGGCAGTGTGCAGGAGCAGTGGCCAGCAGGTGGCGTTGCTGCAGCCGCAGGGAAGACCAGCTCGGCAGGGGCTCAGGTGGCAGCGGGAACTGGGCGTGAGCGTTTCTAAACTGGCCTGTCTGACTGTCTTTGACTTTAGTCATCAAAGAAGAAGCTAATCACAGCGAGACGGCGGAAGACCTGTGCAAGATGGGGCCGGAGCGGTCCCTCGTGCTGGACAGACTCGCGAGTAACGTCGCCAAACGTAAGAGCTCTATGCCTCAGAAGTTCCTTGGTAAGATTCAACGCTTGCTGCCTCTCCCAAAACCAGACTGAGGGCTCCTCACCCGCGGGCAGAGAAAGGGCGGAAGAGGGATCTTGCTTTAAAAACAGCAAACATCCCTAAGCTGTAACGCCTCTTCGATCACTTAACACTTCTCCCAGCAAGTTTCTTAAAAATGACTCTTCTCCTGCCGGAGTTCCCTGGAGGCGGCTGCGACCTCGGGAGCCCCAGGCGTGGTCCTTGTCCCTCCAGGGGGGGTGAGGCTCAGCGTGCCGGGGTCAGCGCGGGCCCTCCACGCCTGAGCGGCCTCTCGGCGCCTCGGGGCCTGGGTTTTCACGGGGCGCTCACAACCTCAGCCTCGCGGAGCCTGGTTCTGCTCTCGATGTGTCTTGCACAGCTGTTGTGGACACCAGACGACCTCAAGGACGTGAGGTCAGCTCCGATCCTGGGTGGAAGGGGAGGGTCGTGTCCAGGAAAGGGGACTGGTGCCAGCTTTGTGAAGGCGGGACGGACCCTGAGTCGGGAGCAGGCATGCGGGACTCTGGAGAGGAGGGTTGTACAGGGAGACAAACAGAGGCACCAGGACGCTGAGCAGGGGGCAGGGGGAGAGAGACAGAGGCACCAGGACACTGCGCAGGGGACAGGGGGCCCAGGGAGACAGGCACCAGGACGCGGCACGGGGGACAGGGGGCCCAGGGAGACAGGCACCAGGACGCGGCACGGGGGACAGGGGGCCCAGGGAGACAGGCACCAGGATGCTGTGTGGGGGACAGGGGGCCCAGGGAGACAGGCACCAGGACGCGGCACGGGGGACAGGGGGCCCAGGGAGACAGGCACCAGGACGCGGCACGGGGGACAGGGGGCCCAGGGAGACAGGCACCAGGACGCGGCACGGGGGACAGGGGGCCCAGGGAGACAGGCACCAGGACGCGGCACGGGGGACAGGGGGCACAGGGAGACAGGCACCAGGACGCGGCGCGGGGGACAGGGGGCACAGGGAGACAGGCACCAGGACGCGGCACGGGGGACAGGGGGCACAGGGAGACAGGCACCAGGACGCGGCACGGGGGACAGGGGGCCCAGGGAGACAGGCACCAGGATGCTGGGTGGGGCCAGGGGGGAGAGTGTGGGGAGCAACTCGGACTAGACTAAGTTACTGGAATTAAGACTTATTCTATGCATCTGCTCTCCCACAATATGGCGCTGGGAGAGAAGTAAACAGCTTCCGCACAGCTGCCTCCAGTTCAACCAATAAACTGTAGGACTTGCTCCTGATTGGAGAGCAGCGTACTCGGCGTGTGGGCAGCCGAGTTGGGATTGGCAGAGGAGGACTATAAAGGAGGAGACGGCATGCACCAGGAACATCTAAGGGGAACATCTAAGAGGAACACCTGTGCAGCCCCCGAGAGAGCCGGCCGGCGGTGTGCCGCTCCCCCGCGGAAGTGGGGAATGTGGCAGGGGGAACTGCCCTTCCACGGAGGTGGAAGGGACGGTAGCCAACCCGGGAAGAACCAGCAGCAAACCCGGGGAGGGCCGAGCAGACAAAAGAACAGCGCAGGGTCCTGTGTCGTTCCTCCACGAAGGCGGGGAGTGACAGGAGAGGGAGACAGAGGCACCAGGATGCTGGGTGGGGCCAGGGGGGAGAGGGAGACAGGCACCAGGATGCTGGGCAGGCAGGGGGCAGGGGGCCCAGGGAGACAGAGGCACCAGGACGCTGCGTGGGGCCGAGTGGGGCAGGAGGGGCGCCGTGGAGCAGAGCCTGTGTTCCTGGCTGGCTCAGGTGCCCAAGGGAGGCGACAAAGCCTGGCTGTTTCATGAAGCTCCGGCACAGCACGGGGGCTGCCAGGGGGCGCCGTCCCTTCACTGCAGAGGCAGGAAGGAAGCGTCCTGTGCTTGGTTGGGAGCAGCCCAGAGAGGAGGAACAGCAGGGACCCAGACTGATGGGAAAGGGGAAATTGAGGGAGCAGGGCAGTGGGCGTGGGAGGGGGAAGTTACGGAGCAGGGAGCCTGGTGAAAGGGCAGGGGTGGGGCAGCCGTGGGCGCAGGGGGACCCTGCTCTGGAAGGCCCTGGTGCTGATTCTCCGGACTTCCTGGGGGCTGTGGCACGTGGGGAGAGGATGGGAGCCACCAGCGATGAGGCACCCATGGTGCACCTGCCAGGAGGGGCTGCAGAGGAGGCCGGTTCCCGGTGCCAGCCGCCCTCTCGCCGCTTCAGACGGGGTTCTGTTGGCTCCTTGGTGAAACGGGCGGTTGTAGAGTTGGGGGCAGGGGAAGCAGGAGCAGGCAGAGAATTCAGTTGGAAAATTGTTTTTTCAAAGAGACGCTGGCCGTGGACACAGCGGGGAGGGCCCTGGTTGCGAGCTTCTCCGCTCTGGCACATCCGGAGCCCACGGGAGCCGGCGCTGGGCTCAGAGTGAAAATAAATACTTAGAGATGAATACTTAAAAATAAATACTTCAAAAAAAAGCCTGCAGCTCCAGGCATCAGCCCCAGGGCCCCTGCCTGGGCCAGCCGCCTCTGCTCAGAGGCCCCTGGGAGCAGGGACCGACAGGAAGTGGTGTGGCTCCGAGCGAGGGCTCCTGATCTCGGGACTCAGGGCCCGACCTCCACCTCAGCACAGGAGGCTGGGGAAGGCACGTGCCCTGGGGAATGAATGCCTGCCGCTGTAGCTCTCAGAGACCTCAGGCCAGCGAGAGGGTCTGGCGCTGCCCTGCACTGGCGCGCCCAGGGCGGGACGTGGTGAGGAGGGTGCTGTCTTCATGGACAAGCTTTCGAGTTACAAGAAAAACAAAGCACTCAACAACGTGGGGTGGGGGGCAAGATGTAGAGGGAGGCTCCGGGGAGGTTGAGTCCAGGAGGTCAGGGCAGCACAGCGGGGTCTGGCCAGGAGCTCCTGCAAGGCTGTGCATCCCCTCAAGGTCCCAGAGGGGCCCCTCCACCTGGTCCTAGCCGGCCACAATTCCCAGGCCCTAAAATAAAAGACTCCGGGCTCCTAGGCCCTCTTGGTCCCTGCAGGAAGAACCTCAGGGACACGGCTGGCCTCACACCAGCCGCCCAGCACGGGAAGAGTGGGAAGAGCACCTGGGGCCAGGCCCAGCACCAGCATTGCCTTGCAAGTGGCCTGGAGGGCGCTGGCTGCAGTGCCACCATCCATGAAATGGCCATGGGTCTGCCACCCCGCCTCCCTCCCCAGCTGCCCTCAGCCCCTTGAAAATGTCCCAGGAGGCACCGGTTTGAGTCCCAGCTGCTCCATTTTGATCCAGCTCCCTGCTAATGGCCTGAGAAAGCAGCAGAGGATGGCCTAAGCCCCTGGCCCCTGCCACCCACATGGGAGACCTGGAGAAAGCTCCTGGCTCCTGGCTTCAGCCTGGCCCAGCCCTGATAGTGCAGCCATTTGGGGACTGAACCAGTGGATGGAAGACCTCTCTCTGTCTCTCCTCTCTCTCTGTAACTGTGCCTCTCAAATAAAATAAACAAATATATTTTTTAAAAAAGAAAGAAAAAGGAGTGTCCCATGAGGCTGTTTATATGCTGAGCACTGCTTGATGGAGCGTCTGCCTCTGCTTCATGGACACGGGAGCCGGGTCCCTGACTCAGACTCTGGCGTGAATGCGGTGAAGGCTTGCTTTGCCAGCGGCATTCCTCACCCACCTTGGCCATCAGAGAGCTCCTGGTGTGAGCGATGGGAACAGGGCAGCAGGGCCTGGACGTGGGAACAGGGCTGCGGGCTGTCCTCCCTCTGTCCTGTGCCTGTGCGAGGACTTTGTGATGACGCAGAAGGTCACAGAGAGGAAACAGAGATTCATATTCCTGCTGCCCGGTGCACTATCCTGGTACACTGTCCTGGTACACTATCCCGGTACACTGTCCTGGTACACTATCCTGGTATGCTATCCCAGTACACTATCCTGGTACACTGTCCTGGTACACTGTCCTGGTACACTATCCTGGTACACTGTCCTGGTATACTATCCTGGTACACTATCCCGATACACTGTCCTGGTACACTATCCTGGTACACTGTCCTGGTACACTGTCACAGTACACTGTCCTGGTACACTATCCTGGTATGCTATCCCGGTACACTATCCCGGTACACTGTCCTGGTACACTATCCAGGTATGCTATCCCAGTACACTGTCCTGGTACACTATCCTGGTACACTATCCCAGTACACTGCCCTGGTACACTGTCCCAGTACATTATCCTGGTACACTGTCCTGGTACACTATCCTGGTATGCTATCTCAGTACACTGTCCTGGTACACTATCCTGGTATGCTATCCCAGTACACTGCATTAGTACACTGTCCTAGTACACTATCCCAGTACACTGTCCCAGTACACTATCCCAGTACACTGTCCCGGTATACTATCCTGGTACACTGTCCTGGTACACTATCTCAGTAGACTATCCCAATACACTGTCCTGGTACACTGTCCTGGTACGCTATCCCAGTACACTGCCCTGGTACGCTATCCCAATACACTGTCCTGGTACGCTATCCCAGTACACTGTCCTGGTACACTATCCCGGTACACTGTCCTGGTACACTGTCCTAGTACACTATTCTGGTATGCTATCCCAGAACACTGTCATGGTACACTATCCTGGTACACTGTCCTGGTACACTATCCCGGTACACTGTCCTGGTATACTGTCCTCGTACACTATCCCGGTACACTATCCTGGTACACTATCCTGGCGAATTTTCTCCCTTTTTAAGAAAAAGAAGCCCTGCTGTATTAATACGTGGCTAATATAATGAATTTTAATGCAAAGATTGGTGTTCTTAAAGCAAAACCCAACATCCAGAAATTAAAAGGAGGTGAGCATCTAAAGGCAAAAGGTTTTCAAAAAGTTCATGGAAAATGCAGGTCATGAGAAAGCTGTGTGCTGACTTCAAAGATTCATATTTCGTTCCCCATCCCCGTGACCTTTTTGCAGTGCCCTCTGGTGGGTGGACAGGTTGGTAAAGAGGTGGACTGATGGACAGATGGAAATGAGTCTGTTTCATAAAGATGCTGGTATGCTGTCCAGGGCTGGAGTTCAAGAGGTGAAAACAGACCCAGAACACTGGAGGAGTGGTCAGGCTTCAAATCAACCTTCTCTCCCAGGCGGGACTCCATTTGTAAAGGACTTGTCTAATATTAAATATACTTTACTATGGGAAACAGCTCTGAATCATTGTTTCATCTATTTGTTTCACTGTAGGCAGTAGCTACTGACTCGTTGCTTTGAAATTAAGGGAAGCCGGCGCCACGGCTCACTAGGCTAATCCTCCGCCTTGCGGCACCGGCACACCGGGTTCTAGTCCCGGTCGGGGCCCCGGATTCTGTCCCGGTTGCCCCTCTTCCAGGCCAGCTCTCTGCTGTAGCCAGGGAGTGCAGTGGAGGATGACCCAAGTGCTTGGGTCCTGCACCCCATGGGAGACCAGGAGAAGCACCTGGCTCCTGGCTTTGGATCAGCGCAGTGCGCCAGCCGCAGTAGCCATTGGAGGGTGAACCAATGGCAAAGGAAGACCTTTCTCTCTGTCTCTCTCTCTCACTGTCCACTCTGCCTGTCAAAAAAAGAAAGGAAGGAAGGAAGGAAGGAAGGAAGGAAGGAAGGAAGGAAGGAAGGAAGGAAGAAAGAAATTAAGGACACTGTTCCAGCTCCCATAGTCGTTTTTTTTTTTTTTTTTTGATAGACATAGTTGGGAGTAGGAGTATGTGTTTGCATAGAAAGAGAGAGAGAAAACTTCCATCTGTTGGTTCACTTCCCTAATGGCTGCAGCTGGGCCAGGCCAAAGCCAGGACCCTGGAACTCCATCCAGGTCTCCCACATGGGTGGCAGAGGCCCAAACACTTGGGCATCTTATGCCTTCCCAGGCACATTAGAAGGGAGCTGGATGGGAAGTTGAGCAGTAGAGCCTTGGACTGATGCTCGTAGGGGCGCTGGCACCACAGGCAGCAGCTTCGCCCCTGGGCCGCAATGGCAGTCCCAGTGCCCATAGTTCTGTGCTGATTCTTACTTTCTCCAGCTTCATAATCTTCGCCTCGGCTCTGTACTCATGATTCTCCAAGTACAGTGGATGTATTACTAGCTCTTCAGACTTGAGAGCTGGCCCTTTAACCCCTAGTTCTGCAGGGACCGTGGGTGACCGCCCCACTACCACTTTATGTTGAACATGATCTTTTGCCTTGGCACTTGATGGCCATCTTGACCCACTGTGCGGCCTCGGGCCATGCTTTTCCCATGAGAACTTTTTAGATCTTGCCATGTTGTTTGATGGCATTGCTTTGTCAGACATTGCTGTGGAGATGCCCAAGACTGGCTCATTTTCTCTTCCTTTAAGGGGATTTTAATTTTCTCCGCAAATACCAAAATGGTTCTGTTCTGGTCTTTTCTCCCCCCCCCCAATTTGCTTTTGAGACAGAAGACATACAAAGCTCCCATCTGCTGGTTCACTCCCAAGTGGCCACAACAGCTGATGCCCCAAAGCCAGGAACTGGGAAGTCACCCCAGGTCCCCCACATGGGTGGCAGGGACTCAGCTCTGTCGCTGCCCTCCCTGGGGGCCTGCACTGACAGAAAACTGAAGTCAGGAGCTGGAACCCATGGTCAAATGCAGACCCTCTGGAGTGGGACGTGGGCATTTTAGCCAGTAGGCCAGAAACCTTCCCAGAATGGCTTTCTTTAACCTTAAAGTCGCAAACCCTAGCCACATGTGTCTGGGCATTTAGCATCCTGAATGAAAACTTGCCTCAGCCTGGAGATGCCCTGTCTTCTTACTTCTGAGAAGTCTTCTGTGTAGATCCACCTTTGTTCCGTGTCTGCGGGTGCTGCCCAGTTTTGGATGGTTTGTCTCCCCGCTGCGTAGCATTGCCTTCAGTTTGTTTTTGTTTCTCTCTTTCGCATGTACTCACTGTTCTCACCTTGTGCTTTTCCCCCACGTCAGTAGTTCAGTTTCTCGTGGTTTCTGTCCTGTTACCAGCTGATTCTAATCTGTGTATTGATTCTGTCTTAATGCTGGTTGGGACATCGTTTTCTTGCTGGAGAGCTGAAATCTCTCTTTTCCTCCCATCCTGCTGCTTTTCACGCCATCTTTACATTTTTTTAACTGACTCCGTGTCAGGAAGCGATTCCGCAGCCTGTCCTCTCTTGCTGGAACCCCAGGTTTTCCTAGATGGCCTCACTGGTCTGGGTTTTAGTTCCTTTCTCCCCTTGCATCACGAGGAACCACTTTCACGCTAGCCGTGACGTGTCTTCCCACTCGGCTTGCTTTGCTGGGTCTGCTGCAGCCTGGTGGTGCGCAGAGCCTTCCCTCTGCGTCCTGTGAGAGCTGTGGGCTGGGGCATGCTGAGAGAAGGCAGGGCTGGGGACGGGCGGGCTCAGGTGTGGCCACCTGCAGCCTTTCCTGATTTTTCCCTTTGCTGAGACCCGGGTAAAGCCCCACCCAGCAGTCCTGGTGGTCACAGCGGGCGCTGCTCCCCTTCAGTGTAGCCCACCCAGGCCCTCGCAGTGCCCTGGAGCCGGCTTCTCCGCTCACTTCCCCGCTGCCCTCTGCTTCTGGCCAGGGGAGCTTTCTCCTGCTTTCGGTGGGGAGAGGAGGAAGACTGTACTTTCCCTGGGGGTGTGTGGATGTTTTCCTACTGTGGCAGACACCAAGGATGCTGTCGACTCAACCTGAGGTCCTCGGAGGGCAGGTTAGCGCAGGCTTGAGCCCGCGTGTCGGACCACAGTGCTCTGTTTCTTCCCTTGGCCTCTGATTTTTTTCTTTTAAACTGTTTCACTCTTGAGCTGACTGCCAGTTCTGTAGGTTTCTAATTTTTTTCCCATTTCATTGGCTGTGGGAGAAGAGAAATTGCATGGGTGATTTCGGTACACCGTGGCAATCTGGAGTTTGTGTGTTTTTTATTTTTCCTACACCCATTTGTTGTTGATACCAGGTTGGTAAAACAACAGATTTCAGCAGTTTTGGGAAACCACAATCCATGACTTTGGGGAGAGACTAGGATGATTAGCAAGGAAAACACCAGTTTTGCTGGGGCTGGGAACACTGTTATGCTTAGCAGAATTGGCCACAAGTCTGCTCCGCCTTGTGCCAGCCAGGCTTTGGAAGACAGAGGATCCTGGGTACAAAGAGAGTGGATCCATTCTGTGCTGGCGTTCATGTGATGAGACACGTGGACCCTCACGGCAAAGCAGAGATGTGTGCGGCCTCAACAGTGCTGCCGGGCTGCTGGTGACCTTCCACAGGGACAAGGAGCAGCCCCTAGGTCCCCACCATCAGCTTCCTGGGGCTTTCATTCTGACCAGGTCTGGGAGGGGTGCGTGCTCTGACCACTGCTGGTCCGTGACTCACGTGGCGCCCAAGCTTCTTCACAGTATCATGGCACTTGCCATCCTGGACAGTGAGACAGGTTTATGAACCACAGAGCAGCACAGCCCTCGGACAGTGAGCGCCCTCTGCTGCCAGCACCCTCCCTCCCCAGGCCCCACCAGCCGCAGCCTGGACTCGGGGGTCTCAATCCTCCCTCACTTTGCCCTTCTCAGTCAGCCCTCCTGGCTCCCAGCCTGCACCCCCGAGGGCTAAGGCCCTGGGACCTTTATGCAGCCCTGCAGAGCCTGAAGCCGCTCTCTTGGGAGCAAGGCCTGTGTGTGTGGTACCCTCAGAGCGACCCTCCCTCTGGGGCCAGCATTGTGGCACAGCAGGTCAAGCTGCCACGTGCAATGCCGGCACACCATCCTGGCATGAGTCCCGACTGCTCCACTTCCAGTCTAGCTGCCTGCCGATGCGCAGGGGAACCACTGAAAGATGGCCTCCATAGAGTAGACGGGCCAGGCTGGGGTGAATTGTCCAGGCTCCACACTTGGGTGCTGCAGGGGTGGGGCGGTCACAGACTCCCCCCTTCCCTGGCTGGCTGGGCACTGCAGGGGTGGGGCGGTCACAGACTCCCCCTTCCCTGGCTGGCTGGGCGCTGCAGGGGTGGGGCGGTGGCAGCCTCTCCCTTCCCGTCCCTGCTGCCTGCGCAGACACGTTGAGGGGTGAGGGCGCAGTGCAGGCCTCTCTGTGGCCCTCAGAGTGGGCAGGTGCTCCCGCGCAGTAACTAACTAACCCGTCTGCTAATGGAGCCAGGGCTTTATGCTGGACTCAGGACCACTGTGTTGAGGAGGGGATCTTCAAGGGAATTCATTTTACTCCAGTATCGAATGTTCACTCCAAAGCTAACTGCCAGAAGCCAAGTCCCGCCCCAGGTTTCACAGTTACCAGGGCAGGGAGCAGCTCATGGACTACGGAAGTCGCTGTCACGGCCTGGGCATTGGCTCCTTGCGCATGGTTTGTGCGGGGTTTTCCTAAAGAATCAGTGAGTGGCAGCCCAGTTGTTTCCTGCTTCCCACCCCATAGCTGCCTGGGCACTGCTCAGCACTGCTCAGCGCAGTTGTGGGGTTTTGTTTTGTTTTGTTTTTTTTTTTTTTTAAGGCTTATTCACTTATTTGGAAGAGTTTCAGAGAGAGAGGGGGAGAGACAGAAGGATCTTCCACCTGCTGGTTCCCTCCTCAGATGGCTGCAGCTGCCTGGGCTGGGCCAGGCCAAAGCCAGGGCCAGGAGCTTCTTCAGGGTCTCCCATGTGGGTGCGGGGGCCCAGGCACTTGGGCCATCCTCCACTGCTCTCCTAGCGGGAATCTGGGTTGGAAGTAGAGCCGCAGGGACTCGGATCAGCACCCCAGGCAGTGGCTTTACCTGCTGTGCCAGGCCCGGTGAGGGTCAGAGCCCACCTCCCCCTGGAGCACAGCCTAGCATCATAGACACCATCCAAGCGCCACAGTCTTGATGGTGTCCCTGATGGCTAAAGGCATGTCTGGGATCACCTGGCAATTTAGACGTGATGCCCATCATGAGTAAACCATGCCCGCCGGGTTTGTAAATAAACCACGCAGCAGGGTTTGTGATAGAAGCCTCAGGGTAGGTGACACCCAGACATGCCCCACCACCCCCCGCCCCCGGGATTCGGCCATGCCGGGCGCTGCCTCACCCTGTCCCCCGCTGCCCACAGGGGACAAGTGCCTGTCGGACCTGCCCTACGACAGCAGCGCCGGCTACGAGAAGGAGAACGAGATGATGACGTCGCACGTGATGGACCAGGCCATCAACAACGCCATCAGCTACCTGGGCGCCGAGTCGCTGCGCCCGCTGGTGCAGACGCCTCCCGGCGGCGCCGAGGCCGTGCCCGCCCTCAGCCCGCTCTTCCCGCTGCACAAGCCGCCGCCGAGCCACGCGGCCCCGGACGGCGCCGTGGACAACTTGCTGCTGCTGTCCAAGGCCAAGGCGGCGGCGGCCGCGGCCGAGCGCGAGGCCTCGCCGAGCAACAGCTGCCAAGACTCGACGGACACGGAGAGCAACACGGAGGAGCAGCGCGGGGGCCTCGTCTACCTGGGCAACCACCTGGCGGCACACGCGCGCAACGGGCTGGGCCTCAAGGAGGAGCCGCGCGCCTACGAGGCGCTGCGCGCGGGCGCCGAGGGCGCGCACGAGGCGCTGCGCGTGCTGGGCACGGGCGGGGAGCCGCTCAAGGCCTACAAGTGCGAACACTGCCGCGTGCTCTTCCTGGACCACGTCATGTACACCATCCACATGGGCTGCCACGGCTTCCGCGACCCCTTCGAGTGCAACATGTGTGGCCACCACAGCCAGGACAGGTACGAGTTCTCGTCGCACCTGACGCGGGGCGAACACCGCTTCCACCTGAGCTAAGGCCGGCCCAGCCCGCGAGGCTCTGTCCCAGGCCCTGCTTTTCAGAGCCCCGGACGCCTGGAGTTTTATTGGCTTTTTTCCTTTTTTCTTTTTTTTTTTTCTTTTTCCTTTTTTGGAAACGAGAGTTTTGCATCAGGAGCACCCAGAACTGCTGCCCTCTGGACATTTCCGGGGACTGCTGGCCCAAATTCCCTCACCTGCGGCTTCCTGGACCCCCACCCCCCAAACCGTATTTGGAGTTTTCAGAGTTCAATAAACCAGGCCAGGGACTGGGCGGAGTGAGCCCCCCCACCCAGCCCAGCTCCACTTGAGGCCCCTGGCAGCAGTGGGTGGGGCTGGAAGCAGTGGCGTCCCGGGAGCTTGGCAGGTGAGCAGACAGGAGCGGGCGGGCCCCAGCACTGGTGCCAGGGCTGCAGGCCTGTGCTTTGAGAAAGCAAAGATGGTTTTCAGTCATGTCCTTTGTACCCTGAAGATGGGTTGTTGGGGAAGAGCTGAGTGCTGGGCGGCCCTGAGCTGGGGCCGTGAGCTGGGAGAGCCTTTCAGTGGGGCCCCTGGTGACACAGAACCTGCGCCCGTGGGGTGAGTCTGGGGCCTGCTCCTGGCTCGGTTGGCCGAGTGCCCATCACCGCCCATGGCTGTCCTGAGATCTGGATCTTCGTGCTGTGGCCCCTCAGACAGGAGAATTCCCAGGCACCAAAGCTGTCTTGCGAATTCCACACTCACTTGTCCCGTGCTGCCTCCCTTCCTGGCTGGGTTTTGCTGCTCTAGACCCCGTTCTGAGCCGAGCGACCGGCCTGGGCTCCTGGCCTCTGTACATTTCCCCCCTCCCCTCACTGATGAGTGCTCTGGTTTGAAAACCTCTTAGGAGGATGTGTTGGAAGGACCGTTAGCTTCCAGGCCAACACACAACTCAGCTGTTTGAAACTAAACCCCCAGACGTTCTGAGACTCCACGGTGAAGACACAGCAGTGTGTGTGACGTGTGCCCACAGCGTGTGGCCAGCCCGGGCTCCCCAGCTCCCCTGAGCAGTGGGTGACGGCCCTGCCAGCGTGCTGAGCCGTGGACGCACCCGGAGCCCAAGCAGGGGCTTGGAGACTCCTCCCTCAAAATCAGAGCTGTCATTAAGGTCACTGCTGTCAGCCCCCCAGTCGAAGAAGAACACACAAGTGTCCGATGGTCTCGTACTTGTCTTTGCCAAAACCCTGCCGAGGCGGGACATTGTGCATTAACAGCTCGGTGTCTCACCTGCCCCGGGGTTCATGTGTGCAGGGGCCCTGCCCAGGAAATGCCGCAGCTCCCCGTTAACCCCCCCCCAAACGTCCCTCAGGGCAGACTCACTCCTAGCTGACACCCACTAGGGGGAGTGGGTGTGGCCAGCCCTCCCCATGGGCGCTGTCCCTGTCGGCAGGATCTGGCCTGGCAGCTACTCCTCCGCTGAGGTTATCAACTCCGTAAATGAATTACTCCTCGGTCCTCAAAGCCGGGCCTCCCATCGGTGGAGGGTGCAGTCCAGGAGCTGCTGTTCTCCAGTCGGGTCGATTTGCTTATGGAATGCCGCAGCATTTCCAAACCGGAAATAAAGTTGTCAGTGTTGACTGTGGCACATCAGTGCACTGAGGACAGAAACCCGGCTGCGAGCAGCTGTCACTCATATGCAATCAGAGACACGCCTTACCCAAACGCACATGTGCAAGGCGGCGCCTCCGCCACCTCCGGCTGGCCGGCACCTTGCACCCCGCTCGCCCCCGCCCACCCCCAGAGGGCCCTGGTGAGGGATCCTGTCTTCCCTTGGGTCCACATGGAGCTGAGCCCGGAGCTGCACCTAGTGGCTGCAGGAGCCCTTTTCTACAATGCTTTGCCCCGTCCTCTCGCTGCCTTTTATAGCCGATATCAATGTCTATTTACACACCTTTTGTTGTGGTTTTATATGGTAGCAGCATTTTTCTTTGAAACTATTGTATTTAAAGTAAGGTTTCATATTATGTGAACAAGTAATTAAATTATGTTTGAAAGGTGGCCATACTCTGTACCACAAGTTACTGAGGTTTTGCCTCGAGCTGGTAAAAGTAGGATTTGCATGCCCTCACACGTTTCGTTCTGTGGTTTGTTCTGTTGTGTGATGGAGTGGGCGTGTGTCCGGTGCCGCTGTGTGCTGAGCTGTGCCCCCTGCTTCTCAGACACAGCAGAGACAGGCAGGGTCCCGCCAGCAGGCCGCCCTGCTGAACGCAGCCAGAGACTGTGTTCTGCTGCCTTCTCCGGCGCCGTGGCTGGGCCTGCCTTCCCGCCTCGGCTCCTTCTGCGCTCTGAACCCTAGCGTGTGGGATCGTCCCTGTGCAGTCACTCACCACCATTGCATTCTCACTGCATTGTCGCCAAAGGTCTGTCCCAGCACCAGCCCCGGACACCAGCGTCTTTCGTTTCCAGTTGAAAGTCACCCCCGTAATGACATCTTAGACTGCTTGTGGAGGACAGCCGCTGTGAGGGAGCTGTGGGCGTGTCCGTGTGGGATCCCCCGCTGCGCTTTTCTCCTTGTTTGGTTTTCAGTGCTTGTGGCACTCGTGTCCTGTCATTGCCAAGACAAGAGTGAGACGACCTGGACCTGCGCAGCCCTCGCCCTTGGTTCCAGCAGTAATGAGGTTTAAACTCTGTTCAAACCCCGGCTCTCCCTCACTCGCGTCAATGCTCCTTTGCTTGAAAGTGAACCAAAATTAGACTTCCTTACGTTGTACAGACATCAGAGCAAAGCAGCACGGGTGCTCTCACTGTGAACAGGAGTCACCAGGTACTAATATGCAATATTGTTCCCAACACTTTCTAATATACTTTTCTATAATGTCCAGTGTGGTGATTGCTGAGGTCCGTTCTCTGTGTCCACGGGGACTCTAGGTCTTCACTGCCCTCTGGCAAGCCGGGCCCAGCCCTGTAGCTGAGCCTGCCCCTCTGAGATGCCAGCCAATTTCTGCTGAGCTGTGAAAGGGGGTAGCGCCGCGGGAGGAGCGGAGGGTCCTTTTTGTTCACATTTTAAAGTGCTCCTAAGGGATAGAACAAGCAAATGCAGCAAAGAGTCTGCCTGCCCGCCCCAGAGAAGGCCCAGCAGAGCCGGCTGGCACTCCGGGCAGGAGCCCACGCGTCAGGAGCCCATGCGGGACCCTGGAGACGTGCTGCTGTTCTCGCCCAGCACGGCAGACAGCTGCCTCCCATCCAGAGCTGTGCTGGGCGTGGGCGGACGACGCCCAGCCCTGGGGCAGAGGGGCAGCGCCAGGCACATTTCCAGCTCCGTGCATTCCAGTAGGGAAGGTGCGGTGGCTGCGTGTGGTGGCCGACGCTGGTCCAATCCCAGTGGGATCCACAGAGCGCAGGTGCCGCCAGCCCGGGAAGCAGCACCGGCACCTTTCAAACCCGGCCTCGCCAAGGAGGCGTCTGGAAACTCTCGGCCTCCTGCTCAGCGTGCTGCTCTCCAAACAGGCTCTCCACACGTCACGGAAGAGCTATGCTGGGAATACCACCGTGGCTTCCAGTGTTTTGTACCCAAATAAACTTCTTTTAAATGCGTTGTGCAGAGACTGCTGAAGTGCCTGTTCACATGTCCACACATTAGCTGCTGCACCCGTTTCACAGTTGCTCATTTCCCAGCTGCACCTTACGGATGTCTCCACAGGCCCAGGTCCGGGAATAAAGAAGAAGTGCCCGGAGGCAGAAGTAACCTGGATGCACGCGAGGGAGAAAGGTGGTTCGGAACGGGAGGAGCTTGTGTGTGGCTGTGGGAGGCTCAGGAGGTCACACTGAAGGCAGCAGGAGCCGAGCACAGGGGCAGCTGGGCCTGGGGCTGGCGGGGCAGCCAGCGCGAGAGGGACGGGCACCAGACGCTGCAGCTCGTGCCTGGGCGCTCTCCTCCTCGTCCTGTCAGTCAGGGTCAGAGTTGTCCCGATGTAGCCCTTTGATGCCCCAAGCTGTCAGTGTGCACAGCTCCCCCATCTGTCCTGCAGGGCAGTGCTGACCTAAGAGCTGAGCTGTGTTCCCAGTGTGAGGAAAGACCAGGGGTCGGGGATCGGGAGCCGGGAGACCAGAGACCCCTGATCCCGTTTGCGAGGAGTTCATCAGCCTTTCTATCAAGATAAAGCATCTTGGAGGTTTTGTGACTCCTTAATGGGACCTCACCTGTCACTGCGCAACCCCCAGCTGCTCCCCGAACTCCTGTCTCTGAAAGGCCCCCCAATTCTGCACACCCTAGACACAGGGACCCTGGAGAGAGGGAGCAGTCGGTGAGGGCCACAGAGCGAATTCCCGGAGTGACTACAGCCCAGGTGCTGTTGCAGACTTTGGCTGTCTCCCTGCACCCGAGCTGGAGCAGCGACTGGCAGGAGCCCTCCCTGCAGTGGGGCCCCGATGCTGTGGCCTCCAAGCGCCTGACTGCCCGGCCTTCTGCCAGTCCTCACACCTCGCTGCCTCCCCATGTGGCCCTCAGGAGCCTTGCTCCCAGCAAACCCAACTGCGGCACCCCAGGATCTGTGCAGATGCACCCAGCGGGGTCGAAACCCAGAGGCCGGCTCCCAAGTGCTGCGGCGTGGAGTCCGCGTGCAGCTCAGCCCCAGGTCACACGAGGCACATGTGCAGCCCTGAGCCCAAACCTTTCTCTTCCTGATCTGAGTGAAACAGCTCAGATGCAGACAAGAGAACGGAGTGGGAAATCAAAACCCTAGCTTTGTGGCTCACAGAACCCCAACCAGAAGACACTCCTGGGTTGAACAGACTGGCCCGGGGCCCCAAAGGGAGACTCAGTCTGCCCAGAGTGTGCCCCTGCCCAGAGGGCACCAGAGCCCCTCACGCACATGCACAGGCCGCAGACCCCCATGGGAGCCACAAGAAGTGAAGCCGGTATCTGCTTTTGGCCTTGAAATCCGGCCGCTTCTGGGGGCCAGCAGTGGGTCTGCTGAAGTCCAGCCACGTGGTCCTAGGCAGGGAGACCGGTAGCGTGGCCCCCCGCCCCCGGCCAGCTCTGCAGGTTCCCCCAGTAGGGGATTGGAGCCCCTTCAGCCTGGCCCCGTGCTCTGCTGAGGCTGAGCCATGGCTGTCCCTGCCTCCAGGTGACTCCAGTCTAGAACCACGTCCGTCTCCATGGCCCTCCTTCCATGCATGCTTCCTCATGGGGTCCCTGCCTCCGGGGCTTCCTAGTCCTTCCCCCAGCCAGGAACACAGGCATCTCTCTGGGCATGTTCCCTGGTGGGTGAGGACAGGATGCTGGAGCCCCCGGGTGAAGGCTGTGTGACGGTGGACATGTGGCTTAAGCTCTCTGGGCTCCAGTTTGCTGGCTCACGAGGGGTGAGGCTTGTGTGTCCCCTCCTCCTATTTCATCTCCATGGCCACCAGGTGAGCCAGAGACCCAGCCTCAAGCCCATCTTAGAGCTCAGACACACGGGGCCATGGCCCTGAGACACCAGTCGGTGATGTGGCCATGCCCACTCGGGGCTGTGCCTCACCCCAGCCTTCACAGCGGCCCTGGGAGGGAACGCAGGCCGCACCTGTGGGGACAAAGGATCAGCTTCTGAGTGCTGCCCCCTGGGTCTTCCTCCTTGAAAACGAGTTCCTGAAACAGGTCCCATAGGCAGGTTGAATGACCGAGGGGTGAGAGGGGCGCCTGGGGGACGGTCAAAGGGGCAGTGCCCACAAGAGGCCTCAGCAGGGGGGGCTGCGTTCCCTTGGCGGGGCCCCAGAGCCCAGCAGGGTGCGATCAGTGCTTTGGAAGGGACAGGAGGAAGAATCCCACTGAGCTCCCGAGGGCAGATGAGCCGTGACCTCCGTCACCCCCGGGCTACCCGTCCCCCACGTCTGGGGAGCCTGGCGGCCCGTGCCCGGGACCATTGCCTTCGCGCTCACGGAGCAAGTCCAGCCGGCCCTGCCAGGCCCCGCACCCTCCTCCTCAGCCAGGGCACGCGGGCGAGGCCCCAGCGGGTCAGTGAGTTGGCACCGGGGAAGCAGATGCACCCACCACAGTCCCCAGGCGCACTGGGAACCCAAGGCTGGGGGGAGATTTGCATAACAGGGATAATTTGGTACCAGCACTGTCCCCTGAAGTGAACGGCATGGATCCCCATAGAGTGAACAGATTTCACTTCTTCTTTCCCGTGTTTGGTCAAACGGACGAGTGTGACGTGGAATGTGGGAATTGTCCACAGGTTTTTGCCTTCTCTCCCCTCCTGAGTCAGCCCCAGGCCTCCCCCCCTCCCCCCCTCTCTTTCTCCCTCTCCCTCCCTCTCCTCCTTCCCTCTCCCTCCCTCCATTCCTCCCTCTCTTTCTTCTCTCTCTCTCCCTCTCTTTCTTCTCTCTCTCTCCCTCTCTTTCTTCTCTCTCTCTCCCTCTCTTTCTTCTCTCTCTCTCCCTCTCCTTCTTCCTCTCTCTCCCTCTCCTTCCCTCTCTCCCGCTCCCTCTCTCTCTCTCCCCTCCCTCTGCCTCTCCCTCTCTCTCCTTTCTCTCAGCTCTGCCACACCCCTGTGCCCGAAGGGGTGGCTGTGTCATCCCCACAGGGTCCTGTGCCAAAGCGTGCCCCAAGCCCTTCTGCCATCAGCCGGTTCCCAGCAGCCCTTGCGTGCAACCGTGCAGGCTCGAGGCTCGTGGGCGGCGCCAGGCATCTCCCCTAGCGCGTCTCACGCTGCTGCATCCCAGCACCTGCAAGAGCTTCCTCCGTGGCCCTCCTGCTCGTGTGGGCAGAGGGCGGCCCGGCCCAGGGCACAGCGGGCATGTGGTTGCCAGGCTCCTCGATTCGATTCCCCTTTCAGGGCCCTCCTCCCTCCGGGCACGGCCCTGCCTCCCACCCACAGCGGCCCTGCCCTTGGCAGAACCCCGCGTGGATCCCTCTGCCTGCGCCACTCCCAGCACTTGAAATGTCAGGATCCCTTTTTTGAGAGTTGGCTTCTGCCACCCCATGGAAAGTCAGCTGTGCACTCAGCCACTGATCCAGCAGCGAGAGATTCGCAGGTACGGTCAGGGAGGCCTACAGCGTTGCAGGGGCCCCGAGGGGCGTGGCCGGTGGCCCAGGGGTTGGACCCACTCTCTCCAGAGTGCCCGGCCTGACCCCAAACGCATGCTTTGAGTTCTCTCGCCCCAAGGCCCTGCTGGTCCTTGAGGACTGGCGCCCCTGTTCTGGACCTTTCTCAAGTCCGGCTCTCTGTGCCCCGGAGCCCTTTGTCCAAGTCTGTGCTGAGTGTTCGGACTATCACGGGGCTGTGCATGAAGCAGAGCCTCCTCCATCGGACTGTGAGCCTCTGGAAGGCAGGAGCTGAACCTGCAGCCATGCTGGGGGGCCTGGGGGCCGGAGCTGGCGCAGCAGTGGGGGTGGGGCAGGGGGTCTTCTTCCAGAATGCCTCCAGGGGCTCTTTGTTTTCCAGAGTTGTGCTCCCACTCCTTTGTCGCTGCCCTAGGCGGGTTCTGTCCCACCAGCATTGAGAGGGACCTGGGGCCAGTGCCCTGCAGGAGCCCTGGGGAAGCCACAGCTACACCGCCAGGGAGTGTCCAGAGCCCAGCCTGTGCCAAATGAGACACGATCCAGCTGAGACCCTGAGTCCAGCCAGGATCTGTGAGACCCAGGTGCGTCTCGGCTGAGTCAAGAGGAACAGAAGGTGGGGAGATGCAAAGTTGTCAAAAAAAAAAAAAAAAAAAAAAAGACAGAGAGGGCAGACGAGTGGAAGACACAGGAGGAAGCAAAAGGGGCACAAAGTTCCAAATGTGGCGGATTTTAGCGCAGCTGAACCAATAACCACCATAAATGTCAGTGCCACACGCTCCAGTCACTAGGCCAAGACCACGAGGGCGGAGCCAGAACCAAGCCCCCTGCCCAGGTTCTCTACTTGAATCTCATTTTACACAGAAGGGCACTTAGGTGTCCACAGTAAGGGGGCAGAGAAAGGATCACCGGGAAAGCGGGGGGCCACGCTGATTTCGGAGGGCGCAGGCAGCAGTGAGCAGAGTTGTCGGGGTGGAGAAGTGGGGTTCCGTGGTGGTTCCAGGGGGCACCCCCGAGATGCAGCCACCCTCCGTGTGCATGCCCCCAGCAACACAGCACCAAGACACGTACAGCAAAGGCTAAAACTGCAAGTAGAACGGACCGGCCCCACGCAGTTGGCTGGAGACTGGGGCACCCTCCCCCGGAAGAGAATGAGTGTGGGGTAGGCAGAGAACCAGCGAGGACGGGGCTGAGCTGAGAGGCAGCAGGTGTTTGTGTGAGACAGGTGGCAGGAAAATCCCAGGCAGGTGGCCCGCCTGAGCCTGGGTCCGGAGCCTCGGATGTTGTGGGGTGTCCCTGGCTGTAGGGAGGGGCTGGAGTGTCTCGGGGTGGGGGTGGGGTTCCAGGGCAGGAGCGACCCCGCTCAACTGGGGCCAGCAGGGGGCCCGTGCCCTGGGGCTGCCGGCTGCGGTGGGTGGCACGGTTCCCTGAGGAAGGGTGGAAGCTGCACGAGCAGCAGTTTCAGGTAGTGAAACTCCAGCCAGCGAGGCCCAGGGTTTCCCAAGGTCACAGGGAGTCGCCCTCGAGCTCATCTCCTGAAGTCCACGCTGCACAGC